TATATATATATTTATATAATTTGCATATAAATCCCTAAGAGTTGAGAGTAATATTTAAAAAAATTACCCTCTTTAATTGATGTGGCATAGGTGGGCAAATAATCACATCCTACCAATCCAACTCACAGGGAACACCAAAACATATTAATCAAAACATATATAGAAATAATAGTCAATTTTTTTTTCTATTTCAAAAGAATTGATTTTTTAATTTTTATATATAATTGATATTTTTCTCAATTTTACCCTATTTAGTCGACATGCCATCCATCAATTGTTTATTTATTTATTTATTTATTTTACAAAAATGAGAGAATTGTATTGGGATAATGGAATGCTAAATATGAACTTTTTACTCCTAATTTACATATATTAAATATTTTTAATCCACGTGGATTAATCTTGAGAGAGTTAAGATATAGGAATAGGACAGATAATACTAACATTCTTAATAAATAGCATGAATTAGTTTTTATTCTTATTTATATTCAAAACCAGAGGAAATATCGTATGCATAATACAAGATTGAAAGGAATATTCTATTCAAATTTATAATGTCGACTAAAAAACTTTTAATTTGACTATTCATGTATGACTATATAACATATTTATAGTTTATATTTTTCACAATTTTAAAAGAAATATTTTAACAAGTTACACTTTAAGTGCATTTTTAGAAAGCAAAGTTGTAACTATTCTCATTCTAAATTAACTAGTAAAAGAGTGTACATTAACGATCATTTGCATGGGTCAATAATGTACCCACTTGAAGAATTATTTTAGCAAGTTATATCTATCCATCATTTTTATGAATAAAAAAATTATTTTTTAGCAAGTTAAGCCTTTGTTATATTTTAAGAAATAAAAGTTATAACTTGCTAAAATACTTATTATAAAAATTAAGTGATATACACTAACAACAAACAAATTAACTGGTATAACTTACATTCATTTTTATACTATTTAATACCTTTCAATTGAGTAATTTAATTACAAACTCACTGTTAGATTATAAGTTCATTTTCATAAGATTTATATTTACAAAAAAATTATATTAATTGAAAACCATTTATTACATTGTATATAAATCATTTGATTTTTTTTTATTGGAATTCAATTTGGAAAAATTTGACATTATATATAATTGTAATTCAATGAATGAATAAAAATATATTTTATATCAAATTATCGATAATATAATAATTGATGTACGTATCATAGTGTAATTTAATTCTCTTTTATAATGAGAATGGAGAAAGAAAGAGAAACAATTTATAATGCCGAAAGACTTTCAAATTATGTTATATAATAACTTTATCGAATAATTCTATCCTAAATTCTACGACTAAATTAAATAATTATCATATTTATAAATCTTCATATTAATCTAAAGTTAGTTAATACATAATTCTCATGAATCAATATAAACAATATAAACTCTTAATGTAAAAAGAAATATAAAATCTTAAATAATATGAAGAAAAAAAATCATTTTGTTATATAATCTTATAGTAGTTATTTAATTTTTTTAATTGGGTGTGAGAATTAAATTTTATACAACATAAGTTTATATTCCCCACATATATTGAAAATAAAAAATTTCAGTACACACAAAATTTTTGAAGTCTAAAAACTTAGGAGCCTGTGTTAAATTTATTATGTCAGATTAATATTTCGTTACACTAAAATTAACTTTTGGAACACAAATTTCGCTACCACCTTCAAAATTTTGATCATTTGTCATTCCGAAAATGATAACAACTAAAATTTTGAAGCAAATAATCGTAATGATCATTCTGAAATATATTTGCATTTCAAACTTCAGTTCTTGAAAATAAATTATACACGTGTGATTTTAGAAAAAGTGTATATATAGCAGTAATAAAAAGTTGGAATTATATGAATAGTTTAGTGAGATACATGCAGGGTGTGGTGGGAGCAGGAAGAGTGGACCAAAGCTGTGACTGTGAGGTGCAAAGAGAAAGGAAGGAAAGTTCCACCGACAGGCATATATGCCACTTCCAACACATAATAGAATAGAAAATCACAAAAAGAGATCATGATGTTTGTGTTGGGAGAAGGGTCAACATAAACATGTGGGTGTGTGTGCCAATGCGCGTTTCGTTTAGATCTAATCTACTGTGTGTATATATATATATATAATATGATTTTATAAGCATATGGGTGTAAGATTTTATACTGAGAACAGTTATAGCTACCACCGATGAATGAGATATAGAAAAAAGTATAAATGGCATTGTTCATATTTCATTTCAAGGTGGTTGGTGCCACTTAACTTGGCTGTCTCTGTGTTAGTGACATGTCATTGGTGGCTTCATCATTCAGTGTTAGCTGCTAGCTAGGTTATTTAGGTCAGGGTTGAGTTACTTGAGTACTGTATTCACTATCCCAACATTAAATATAATAAATTCTACTTTTAAATAAATAGTATAAATTACTAGCTACTAGCAGCTGTAAAGAAGAGTGATACGAGTAGGGTCATATTAGAGTAGACCCACAAGTCTTTTACCTTTCAGTAAAAACCTTTTATTTTCTTATAAAATTTTATATTAATCTTGTTAATAATGAAATGAATAACATTAATTTAAGTTATATTAGAGTGAAATCAGGCTCCAATCCCTTAAATAATGTCCCGATTCGATTGTAGATACTATATAGATTTTTTTTTTGTGTGATTATCACTAGAAAGAACAGATTCGCTTGTAGTTACAATATAGAAAAAAATTGTGATTATCACCAGAAAGAACAAAAGTGTAATTTAATTTTATATTTTAAAAGTAATTTTTTTGTTATTTGAATATCTTTTTTAAATTTACTTTTAAAATTATTTTTAAACATAATTTAACTTTTATAGTAAATCTTGTTAACAATAATATCCAAAAATTATTAAAATTTAAACGGAACTTAACTTTAATTTCGGATAATCTGCTCTTTTTTTTCCGGCTCCATAACAACAATCTAGTAATTACTAAGGTCAATTTTAGTGACATAGTTAGATAATATGTATAAAGTCTTAATTTTAAATCATATTACGTAATTATAACTCTTAATGAAAAAAATATGGCAACAATCTGCTGAGAGTTATAGTTTGCAAACGATGCTGATGAAGGGCTCGGGGCTTTGGGCCTTGGGGGAAGGCTGACACCGAGTATGAAAATTTGAAAATGGTGAATGTGTTCGCTTGAGTGGGCTTGTGTTGACCAAGTTGTGGGTTTGCCTGTATTCAAATGCAACAATTTCCATTCTATTACAAAATATTCGAATAAAGTTTGAATTTAATCGATTATACCTATAAAAAAATCAGATATTATATAGTTATTTTTTGAAAGGGTAAAATTATATTTTTTTAATTAAACTTTTTTCTTTCTATTCATTTAAATTAAACAACTTTATAATATTATTTCTCTTCTATTTCTTACCTATTTCTCTTAAATCAAACAAACTCATTTCTATCCTATTACTTATCTATTTCTACTCACTTATTTCTTTTTTAATTATCTATTTTTTTCCACTTTATTTCTCACATATTTTCCTTCTCACAACTAAACACACTAAATGATGGTTAAGCGTTAGTCTTTTGGGGATATTCCATTACAAATTTTTCTAATGTTGATGTATGGAAAAAAATAAAAAAAAAATTGTAGAGCAATCTTTTTTAATTAATATAGTATATCTTAATATACCTTACCTTTATTTTTTTAAATATAAAAACATGAATTTCATGAAATTATTCAAAAATAAATCTTATTTGTTGATGAATGATGTGTATAAGTAATGAAATTAATAGCGAACTACTATTAAGTTTTTATCTTCACACTAATTAATTAGAAGAGCACAAATTTCGCGATAATTGTTTGGAAAACAACGAACCTTACAAATTTACAATCAGAACTAAAGAACATTTCATTGCAAAATAATATCAGTTCAAACTCAATTCTGTGTTAGAACTTGTATTTATTTTGTAAAGTATATGATAAATATTTATATATACATCACTAATCTCTCACTATTTTATTTATTTACTTATTTATTGTTCTTTCTTTTTCTACTTCGCTATAAATTTCACTCTTCAAACCTCTCGTTCTACATAATCACCCACTTCATCATATATCTTTTGGCTAACTTTTATTCTCCATGAAATCAATCCAAATTTCACTGAGAAGTATCAATTTTACAAATCAATGACATTCATATTACAGATGCAAAAAGTGAAGCACTAGATCAGGATTAACAATTGATCTCTCTCTCTCTCTCTTTAATGTACAGAACAAATGCTCCACCCGTCTTTTGAACTTCTTCCCCATTCCCTCGATGGTTAATGTGTTCTCGACATTGTCCCATTGCAGACCCAAAGTTAATAATTTGATTTGCTATTAAAATTATGGAAAGAGATGTTATTCACAGTAGATGGCCTGAACTCTAAAGGATTATTCCAGTGCTCTAGTTCATTGTTTGACCATCTCATGTCAACATTCTTAACCTCAAGACCTTCAATGTGCTCCATCATCATGCCCGCAGTCCTGTGTTTAACCAACTCTTGGCATCCTGGCCTATAGTCCAATAACCCACCAACATAACTGGTGAACCTTCTGTAAGTGATGTCCATGTTGATGAATCTCAAATTTCTTAACAATCCTCCCTTTGAACCAGACAAGAAGATACCATTTTCAGAATTTGCTGTAATGTTAATAAAAAGAACGTTTGATATTGATGCTTCCTTTGAAGTTGAGTCTCGTGGGCAAGTTGTGACATAGATAGGTTCCGCTCTCCCCCACCATAATGGGTCATAGTATCTTGTGCTGATATTTATGTTAGAGAATACAATGTCACTTACATTTCCTGCACAAGGAAGTTGAAAGCATTTTAAGTCTATATCTTTTTTTTTGCATAAGCTTATATTTAGCATTCATATTAATCAGGCTCAATAAAAGTGAGGCACTGAGGCTTACTAAGCCATGCAAAGTTACAAAAGTGTTCAAGAAAAAATGCTAGTAATACACACTATGACACATTGATTTCAAGGCTTACTGAAATTTTTGAGACCTACTAAATTGGGAGTAGGAGCATTTAAATAGAATGTGAGACTGACATATTTCTACTCATAATGAAAAGAGTGTTAGAAAGTGTATATCAATGTTCAATTACAAATTAAAAATATGTTTGAAGAGATATTTATGCCAGTTAGAAATTCTTGTTTCATAATGAACCAAGTTACGTAGTGTTTTAGACACATGCTTTGCATTCAACATTTTGAGGTAAGAAAAAGAAAACATTCACATAACAAAAAAATAGTTTCTGATGCAGTCATTCATCCGGGAGAGAAGTGAGAAGAAACATCTTACCTCCATCACGGATCTGGAATCCAATCCCTCTATGAGAATCCACAATAGTGATATTGTCAAACACAAAATACTTCATATCAAACCAACTAGCACTCCCGAGCTTAATTGCAGAAGATTTGGATCGAATCCAACTATTAGTGACCGTAAGGTTGTAAACAGGGCCTGTGGATGACTTTGGACAGATTGCATCATCCCCTGTATCAATGTGGCATCGAGTGATTACCGTGTTGTTTGAGTCCTCAATATCAATCCCATCATTGTTCGGTATATTAAAGTCCCCATAAATTGCAATATCGTGAATGGATATGTTGTTACTCCGCACCAAGTGTAAGCTGCAAGTTAGTATGTAATCTGTTTGTTAAGGTGTGGAATGTACTTAATAAGTTATAAATTTTACCAAGTGAAATGCCACACCTTTATGCTATATGATAGGAGGAATCATAAGTTGAAAAATGACAAAAGCATTTACAATAGTTTTCTGGTTAATAATAGAAGCATGGGTCATTTAGGTTAGGGGACCAGTCCCTGTCATATGTTTATCAGACTCATGTTGCCTTTGCGTGCACATAAACCACAAGGTACCAAAACAACATCCACAAGTGACGTCAATCTGCTCCAACTAGACAATCACAATCAAAAGGTTACTGACATTGGACTGAAGCCGTTTATGAATTACCCAATAAAGTTTATCCAAAACTACTAATCATATTCCAACACCTGTCCCAACGCCAAAACAAAAATCAAATTCAGAATAACCTACCTCTCCATTTTTTTCTAATAATTCTAAATCCTCCTTCACATTTTCTCACTAATCCTCATCCCTAGGAACCTGGTTGACTACTTAAAATAAGATTTTTTCTCACAAGTCACATCCACGCCTTATCCCAGATATATCTTAAAAGAGAGGAGTCCAATTCCATTAAGTTAGAATTTATAATTAAATACATGTTTAGTCTTTAAATATTTTGGTCAATTTTCATTTTTGTCCTTGAATAAATTTATTTAATTTCACCTCTTGATAATTTCTTTCCTAAACAAAAACTTTTGATGTCAAATATAAAAAAAGTTAGCCAAAAGAAAAGTTAAACTTAAAGTGAAAATGGACAAAACTTTAATGGGTAAAATGACAAAACCTCAATGGCTAAAATTAATTAAAGAGAAAGGTTGAGGATTAAAAGTGAAAATCAGCTTCAAAACATAATTAATCTTAAAGGTGAACTAGGTTGCAGATGAAACAAAAACACCATAGCATTTAGCATGTAGCATAAATTTAATCAATCAAATGGAACTGTATTAGTAGTTAGTAGTTACAGTAACACGCACCACCAATAAGCAGGGTGATTGAGAGTAATGTTAGAGACACTAACATTGCTGCAACCAAGAAAACCGACGAGTCTAGGTCTGCATTCGTCTCCTAAGCAAGCCCCCGTTTGGTTCCAACTAACCATAATATTCTTCCTCGGATCTTCCCTCACCACGAACTCCGCAGCCTGCCCGTCCACCACTCCGCCGCCGCCGATTCCCACGTCCGTCGCGTTCTCCGCCACCACCACGTACCACCGCCACGAGTCCTCGGGGTAGTCCTCTAGCCTCGTGCCGCCCAGGATGGTGGCCCCGGGCTCCACGTTCAAGTGCACGCCGGACTTCAGGAAGACGGTGGCCGTCAGGTATTTTCCCGGCGCCGGGAAGGTGACGCGGCAGGGACCGCCCTCCGGGCAGGAGTTGATGGCGGACTGGATCGCATCCGTGTCGTAGCGGAGGCCGTCGCCGGTGGCGCCGTAATCGGCGACGGAGAGCGTGATTGTGAGGGGGTTTAGAGGGTCTGACGTGGCGAGATGCGATGGGGTGAGAAGGAATAGTAAGAGGAAGAGGATTGGGTTGTCCATTTTTGGAATCTGACTCTGCTCTCACTTATCTCTAACTACTCATAAATTTATATGTACTTTGTTCTTTCCCTTCAGAATTACACTTATAATCTTTCAATATATAGTTTTTCTCTTCTTCTTTTTAGCAATACAATGATTATATATAGCACACATACTTCGGTAAAAAAAATATAAAACAAATTCTTAACAAGTCCTAACAAATTTATTGTTAAACATATTTTTTATTTTAAGTAAACGAGACTTAATTATTTTTTTAATTTTTTTTTTGCTCTCCCAATAGAACTTGGACTATAACATTATTTCACCCATCTACAATAACATTGTCCTGAAGGTTGTGATCCATGGAGGTGTTGAACTCGCGAGTTAGCAGCATAAATTCCAATTTTGCAAAAGTCACTTACTGAATTAATTGTTGTGGTTGTTGCCTCCAAATTTCTTAGATATTTTTACATAATAGTAGGACTTTTGAACCATAAGTTTCCTTTAATAAGAGGCAAAGGCATCCCGGTTTCAATGTCTATCACTTTTGCATAAGAAGTTGGAATCAACTTCCCACATGCATCTAGATGAGCTCTAGCATCTTTATCAGCTGAGACAAAAATGTTGCTCCACCACTACTTTTTGTTAGCCCATAACCTTGCCATACTTCAACTCAAGGAAACATCTTCCTAAACTCTTGTGCCACTTCCTTGCTCAAAGGTTCAACACCTTACCCCACCCTTCTTTGGTTGGATAGGTCACACTTAACTTTGCTTGCATGTATTAATAAAATGCAAGGATCCCTAGTAGCACTATTGATAAGTTATTAACCTTGTGCTTATGGATTGCATCAAGCATACCTTGGAAGTCATACTTCTACGTCAAAATTGTTGTGACACTAACATATAACAATCTTAATCCAAAGAACATCAATCCATAGATATGAAATATTGGAGTGAAGGCCATGAAAACATCTTAGGATGTATTGTCGTTAACGGACCATAAGAGTAGTCTCATTATGAAAAATGAGATTTGCTTGTATTAAAATCACACCTTTCTTATTATCCATGTGGTCCTTGAAGAGTAAAGCATAATAGTACTTGACTGTGCCATAAGAACATATGACAACTCTGGTGAATTATATAACAACCTTCTATTAGTTCTTCAATTGATAACATCATGTCATCAGAAGTACGAGAAGATAAAATTGTAGGAACCCCAGTTGGGACCAACTTGGGTAGCTCCTTTAGTGTTGAGATGGCTAATTGAGCACCTAAATCACGCACTTGCTTGGCAATTTCTAACCTACTATTGATGGGGTTGTCAGTGACCAGAAAGGCTCCAACTGATAACACAACTAGGCATATGGTTGTGCACAAGATTGTGTTTGCTGACAACCCAAATACCACATCACCTTTCCTAACCTCAAGTCCATGGAACAAAGTTGATGAAAGGCAGTAAATAGGATGTCTTAGCAAGGCCTACTTGTGGGAACTATGACAACACAAATTGACAGTATTTAGGTCAAGCTATGTTGGGATTTCATGCTTGGTGCCGAGCTTAACTAGAGAGTGATAAATATTTGTTCTTGAATTGTAGGCACTCGTGTTACCAAGTGGAGGTTGAGATTTATTATATTCTTCTTCATTGGATGACCAAACTTCTTATCTTGACATTTTGGTATTGATATTTTGGAAGATAGAGAGGCTTAGATAAAAGTTGAGTGAACAATTATGTACCCTTTTTGAGTAAGGGAAAACTCCAAAAAAAATTAGCAAGAAAAATATGGAAGATAATATTGATTTCTTTCCCCCTTTTACTAGACCAATACAATGTCATATATATAAAATACATACTATCGTAATCATAAGTACAAAACAAATTTTTAACGAGTCTTAATAAACTTATTTTGGAATATATTTCTTGTTTTATAAAAAGAGACTAATAATATTTCTTTTGGATGTCCTAATAAAAGTTTGACCATAACATACAACACATAATTGGAAAATATATAAATATTTAAATAAAAAAGAACTTTCATTACATTTTATTCATTTTTTATTTTAATATTTTATAGATTTTTCTTTATAAATCTAAAAAAATCAATAATATATCTACACTTCCATTTACATTTCTATCAATTATTAAATAAAACTTTAGAAGAACTTAATTTAAACAATTAAAAAGTCGTGAAGACTAAATAGGAACAACTAAAACTAAAAATAAAAAAATCACACATAACAGAATATAAGAATTGTAGTTGAGCACAAATTAAAAATGTAGTCTCTCCAACAACTTTACATAATATAAAGACCGAGTCACATTTAATCAACAAATACTAGTTTTTGGCTGTCACTTGTCACCTTTAAAATACAGTGTGAACTGTGAACTATCCCTATAAACTTTAAAAAACAAAATAAACAAAAACTACAATCAGAAAACAACGAAATCAATACTAATTAGTAGTTAGCACTACCGGCAAGTGAGTAGTTTCTGTTGTGTAGCATCTAGAGAACCTTAAAAAATTTAAAAATAAAATGAAACGGCAATGACATTATAAGGAAAATGACGGTCTTAATAATATCATAAACGCCTAAATCTTTAAGAATATTGTTATGCTTGAATAACAATAATATATTTGGACAAAAGACCATTTTTTATTTATATTTTTTCATATTTGGTACAATTTGTTGCGTCCATATGATGGGAGTATTACCCGGTTCTGTTATCAGTGAGTGTTAACTACATCTTTTTCGCGACACTGTTCTGGACTCCATCTGGTGATTGTGCGTTCTTCAACGCTGTAATTTGCCAAACACAATGGAGACTCATTGTAGTTACCATTTTTATTAACATGTAAAACCAGTAAGCTTTTTGCAACGCTTCCAAGAAGTCGAGTTGCGCAATGAACATCAGACCATACTCTCAATCTTCCATCTAGATCGTTATCATCCCCATCTGATAAAACAAGCACACCATACTCCGAATGGACTCGAGCTGGATGATGACGATACACAATGAAGTCTACACCATACTGAGCTCCTGATCTCACCACCCAATTTTTCATTCTAAGGTGAGAATAAGCCTTGTAAAGACAAGGGAATGTTTCTTTCTGGGACTTCATGTAATGCCACAGCTCTTCATCATTTTGGGGACCAGTATCACTCTCATTAATATTAAGGCATTTCAAGGAATAGCTTAGGTAGAATGCCTCCTCGAAGCTTAGTTGAAACCATAATTTGTCCTTCTCAACTGTTCTCACAGGTCGACCAAAGCATGCTTTATCAAATAAATCAATTTGTTCTGCTCCCACTGCTAGGTGTACACTGTTATCAGATAGAAATCCACATGTATCTGATTGAACTAGAGAAGACTGAAGCTGAGATATAATCTTTGACATGGGTTCCTTGAGCGCTTCGGCTTCTGCATCCTTCTTAGCTTTTGCATCTTTTCCTTTCCATCTTGGTGCCATTTGGACTTACAACATGAGTTAACAATGCGTCAAATTCAAGTCAATGCTGATTTAACAAAGCTCAATCAAAAAGGTAATGACAAAGGATATGGAATTTCTTGCATGAAAAAGGGGGAAAGAGTCGAGTTCCCACCAAAAAATCACCAGAATGCATGGGAAAAAGGTCTACCCCATTTGCAATGAATACATTATTTAATTGAATATTATCACCAATAAGTCAATAGAATATACATCATCTTGATTGGATTTTGGGTAGCATCTTAGCATCTTTATATGCACCACCGGGTAGATTTTTGTTATCTCTAATAGCAAGTTTGCATTCATCTTACAAATAAACAAAATGTCCATTATTCCTATTCAAATTAATGTAACGTCGTCACCTAGAATAATATTATATGTGATGCAGTAAATGTTTTATATCGTACAAAATCATATTAAGAAACATTTAGGTGATCCTTGTTCACTAAAATAAGACTAATTTCAGAATTAAAAGTACAAGAACTGGATCAAAAAATGCTGAGTGGTGCTTAGTTTTACAATTTAAGCTAAAAAGTATATATACTGAAATCAATTAAGAGAACACTGAATGACTGACCAACAAAACATATAGAATTTCTTAATAGCCTCCAAACATACAACTTGAAACAAAATGATTGAGAAGCAAACAAGTCACAACACGTAGGAGTGTTCAAATTGTTGAACTGAACTACAATAAACAGTTCACCAAATTGAACTGAACTAGAACAAAAATTGACTAAACTGAATTTAACTATTTTCTAGTTTAGCGCACTATAATTTTACCTCAAACTAAACTATTATCTATATATTAAAAAAAAAATTATATATATATACACTAAACTGAACTACCGAATCACTGTCATTAACTATAAGTTCAATTTAAAATAGTTTGAAATGTAAAACAAACAAGTATAACATTGATAAAAATTCCCTACAGCCTACAGCCCTCTAATTCTGGCAAAGTAGGTTCCATCTAATTCTTTTCTCCCCTACAACCCTCACACCAAATTTTTTTTTTAAAAGAATAAGAACTTTCAATTTCCAATAGAAAAATATATTCAAAGATCAGTTCAAAACAGAAAAAAGATGCGCATTTTCCAATAAACAGCCTAAATTTAGCATTTGATATTACTGGAGGCAAAAAGTATAATAGAGCTAGAGTGAAATTCTTACAGCAGAGAATCCAGACGCCTATAACTATCAAGAGCATTCATCACAAGCTTTGAAGTTTGAACAGACTAACACATAAATGCAGGAAGTACCCTCATTAGCAAGGAGTTAGAAAATACTACAAATAGTTTTCTAATCCAACTCTGTTTAGTTAGCATCCAAAATTAGTTTTACATGCTGCAACATCCTAATTAATACATTCTAATTATATTTAATAATTTAAAATAAATTGTATTATAATATAATAAACTCCACTAAAATTTAAAATAAACACATGATGCAGCAAATATTGGAATATACTTTGCTCTCTGGACTCCCAATTCCCAAAAGCAAATTCCCTATTGAACTCATTTGAAAATCACTATGCTTAAATCAAAATATGAAGAAAGTATATAAAGCTCTCCCCACATTCTTGTCTGGAGATATGCAGATAATCTTATCAACAATTCTTGTTTCATAACATGTTGCATAGTGGCTTGCCTTTCAATGGGAAACTATTTCTTCAAAAACAAAATACTAGGTACAGTGGGTTGAAAAGAAAAGATAGTGGAACTTAACTCAAATCTAAAATGTGACTTCAATAAAGCTAGAATGCGTTCTCCCATGAAGTCCATTACAGTTTTTGTACCCCAAAGAAATGTCTATTACAATTATATACAGATCAATATAATATATGTGCTGTAAACTGAGCAAGTGCTAGCTGTTTAGAGGAATATTCTAAAATCTATTTGACTTATTAGCTGGATAAATTGTGTCTTGTCATATAAAAGTATGTACAAGAAGAATGCTCTTCCTTCTACTATCAAAGACAAAAACTCATTTCTAAAGAAAAATGTCATCTTGCATCAAAGGACAACTTATTCGCAAACAACCTGGTTACCGGTATGCTTTCTTAACTATAACTTTATTGACAACCTCATAATGCATACACCATATAGTACACGAGGTTTATCTTGCTGAACATGTAAAAGCATATAACTACTAAAGTGGAAGATTCAATATTCATCAATGTAATTTACTGTACTTTCTCTCTTTTTAAATAAATCTTAAATAAAATGATTATTCTCTCTTCGTATTAAACTAAAGCAAGGAGATTAAGGTGGTAATCCTCAATAAAATTCACAACTAATGGCATTTTAATTCCCTTAATAAGCACTCGTTAACATACCATACCAAACTCAGCATTGTTCAGACATATTTTAGTAGAGCTATGAGAGCTGACTTTATCCTGTACACCATTTAATTATCAAGAAAAATGACTGGACACAAGCTGTTTATAAATATACGTAGCTAATCCTGATTTTTCATCCTAAGGTAAAAATTTAAGCAGTACTATTACTTGTGTTAGCAATAACATGTAGACCACACTGAGTGCATGTTGATCTTTGAGAAACTGATTTCTCAAATTTAAATTCAAGAGCCAAAAATGCAATCAGGCTGATAATTAATTACTTATACCAATTAGGACTATTTTTAACACAGCCAAAGTTATCAATAGCAGATAACGGTCTATGGTATGAGGCCGAAAATCCTTTATAACTCTATGGCAGATGCCATGACGGACAAAATATATACATAAAGAAAACAACAAAATAAATAACAAGCAACAAAACTAACATAAAACCAACCCAATACCACCTTCCATACTTAAATATCCTAACAACAATATCATAATTCATTAAGACTCATAACATAATTGATTAAAACACAACAAAAAACATAGAAAAACAAGAGTGCAAGAAGTATTTTGCTAATCTAATCATCCTTCTCCTCAATAATAAAATAGGCACTCAATGTTAGTTTAAAATTTAAAAGAAAATAGGAATTTAAATGGACCCAATTGGTAGAAGAATTGGGATTAAAACTAAAAGAAGGAGGAGGATTAACCGATTAAAACTGAAAAGAAAAAAAAAAGGATTAAAACTGGAAAAAAATGGAGAATTAAAACTGAAAAAATAAAAGGAGGAGGAGGATTAAAACTGGAAAGAAAAAAAAAACCTGTTAAATTTTAAGTTTATCTATATCGCCGGAGTTGCTCGCCGGAGTTGCTCGCCGGAGTGCTGGGCCACCACGGTTCAGGTTGCCGACCAGCAAGGGACGGTGAACGAAGGTGGTTAGGGGCAGTTTCGACTTCCGTAAGTGCTGTTCACGCGTCGTGGACCCGTGGTTGCTTGCTGGAGTGTTGGGCCACCGCGGTTCAGATGGTCGGTCGCAGAGGTGACCGGAGAGCAGCGATCGGAGTTGAACGAAGGTGACCAAAGAGGTTTAAAACCTAGGGCAGATTGTGCGACTGTGCGTGACCTCCTCTTCCAAGTGCAGAACTTCGCCCGACTGAGGGAGAAGTGAGTCGAGCCAAAAAAAGAATTAGGGCTCACTCCATCTGGGCCTGTTTCGAAGCCCAAAAATAGGTTTTTTCAAGAAAAAACCCATCATGACCGCCATAAAGCTTCACGGCGCCATGACCATGGCGGGCGCCATATCGGAAATGGCGAACACCGCCATAAACCTTCATAAAACGGTTGGCGAATGACGTTTTTCCGTTATAACGGCGTTATAACGGATATTTGACAACATTAGACACAGCAGTAGAGTTATCCATGCCACAATCATTTAACTGACATTTTTTCTGTTGTTTGCACTGTACTGTTCAAAATTCAGTACATTGAAAATTGCAGGTCTTCTGTCCAGTAAAATGTATCTCACGTTAGAAAACTCTCACCTATTGTAGACATTTAGACATCAAAACCCACATAAAAAGTCCAAAAAAACAAACAGTACAATACCAATGTAACAAAGAGGTATTGAGGAGGAATAGGAATTGATCAAATGTATAGCACTTCATCACGCTGTGACGATAAATGGAGAAGAAGAAATGCACCAGATTGATGATACAGACAAGCAGGACAACAAATGCACTACACGCAAGTTATCAAAAACATGGAGTGCAAGCAACAGAAAATTTTGCTTTACCTACGCAGAGCACACCAACAAGAACAGAAATTTCCAATCGTTCAATCAGAATAAAATAACTCATAAGGTTTAGGATTCTTACCTAGTGCGGTGTCGTCACTAAATGTCGAAGGAAATTGAGACAAAGGTATGAAGAGCACATCCAAAAATGGCGGTGTGATTCCAATTTGGGATTTAGGGTTTCAATTTAGCAGTAATATTTTGTTTGTCATTCATCATTTCACCTAATATGTTTTAACTGTATCTCCCATGCTTCTCACTTGAACAAAAGATTTCACAAATCAAGCCCCAAATCCAAATGACGGAAAATTGTAGAACAGAGCAAATATTAAGTAGCAGTGCAATTCAAAGGTTAAGCTTTTCAACCCCTTTCTCCTTCCTAATCTAAAGTAACTGACAAATTCGGAAAAATATCCAACTTGGTGAAGATTTGGATGTAACAAACAAACATTGACTTGGTGATGGAAGATCTTGCTCAATGGACTTAAACTTTGAAGAAACCCGAGAGTCCAGTTCAGAGGAAACAAGGGGAAAATGAGGTTAGGTTGAAGCAAAAGAGTGTGAGAAAAGAGAAAAGTGATATGGGATGGGTGATAAGCCTCTGAATGGCGAGAGAAAGGAGGGAGAATCACATAGGCATTTCGTCGAACAGTTACTATTCACCTTACATTACTCATTGGCTTCAATTCATTTTGGGGCTCTATTGAGCAGAATCTAGTTTACGAAATAAAATTAAAGGGAGAAGAAAGTGAGATACGAGAGAAACTAACAAGAGGTCTTGCTGCCTACGCATCCAAGGAATGCGGCAATCTCCTTCAACTGCGAGGTCTTGTTGCTTCAATCTTCTGCTCTATAGCTGCTTATTGCTTAATCCTCACTCACTTTTAGGCTTTGTTTGGATTTGTGGATAGAAAAGGAGGGATTTGAAGGGAAAGTGAGTGGAAAGTGAGGTTGTTTAGATTAAGGAAAAGTGAGTGAAAAGTGTAAAGAAAGTTTGTGAAAGTTTACGAGTGAATTGATTGATGTAATAGATAAAAATAAATTTTTAATTGATGATTTTGTAAGATTACTATTTTGCCCTTAGATTAAAAAAAAGTTTATAATTATTATAATTAAAAGATAAATATAAAAATTTTAACTAAAAAAATAAATATAAAATGTTAATTTAAAAATAATTTTATTTAAATATTTCCTTTAAATTTAATGATAGATAAAAATTAAAAATTTAATAGATGAATATGTAATTTACACTTTTACTCTTGGATTAAAAATGAGTATAATATTATTTATTGTAAATAATAATAATTACAATAAAATTATATTAATAGGTATAATTTATTAAAAAAAATTAATAAAAATGATAATAATAATAATAATAAATATTAAAAAAATAATAAGAATCATAATAAATAATAATGATACTAATTATAATAAATAATAATAATATTAATAATAATGATAATAATAATAATATTTATAATAATAAATAATAATAACAAAATATATTATAATAATTATATTTTCTATTTTTTTTAATGTTTATGAAAGTGTTATTATTTTAATTTTATAAACATGTATTATTTTATTTTATTTTTATATTCCCACTTTTTGATGTCAATATTTAAATAATATAATTTTCTTAATATAAAAAAATGTACAATAAAATTTTTGAAAGTTAATTAATAAATTAAAAAAATGATAAATCATTGACATAAACTAAAAGGAAATGAAGATACATTTGTTAATTGTACAAGTTAATTTTTACCAATTAAAAAATTAAGAAATTTTTAACATTACAAAGTACATGGGTAATAACATATTTGTAAAATGGAACAGAAAATACAATTCAGTCATCAATTAAATAAACAATAATTAAATATGACATAAAATAATAGAAATGAAAAATGTTGCAACTAAATAAAACATATTTAAATTACAATAATAAAAAAGAAAATAAGATAACATAGTTTATTCAAATGAACGCTGAAAGTCATCAAATTTTTGTTCCAGGTCATCAAGCATGTTATGTACTCGATCGAAACCTGTGTTAACATTGATGGTCAAATTATTTAATCCTTCTTGTAACCCTTGAATGCCAGTCCATATTTGGGAAAGCATTTGACCATCATACTGGACTGAGGGTTGTTCTGTGATGTCGGCAGGCTGCTCGTCAGCATGGTCCTCAGGCATTGCATGCTCTTCATCTTCAACATTTTGGCCATGATGATGATTATCCCTGCCATGTATCCATTCCCCGTTGACATTCACGACATTTAATTTTTTCAAGGTATTTTTATTAAAAAAAATTTGCCCACCCTAATTCAACTGCAACATCAATTGATAAGTCTACGCCATAAACAGCCAAAATGTGTGAAATTAAAATGGGGTATGGAAGAAGCATCCCATTGTCCTTGCATTTGACCATGTGTTGCATGATATAATGGGGCCAGTTGATCAAAATGTTATTATTTAAGGCCCATAACAGAAAAATGTCTTCCTGCAAGAGTTGGGAAATGTTACTTGATCGGGGAGCCAATATATGGACGTAGACATAATGTAGGAGTCTGTCGTTAAGGTTAAGACTTCCTACATTTCTGACATTTCGGCCATGCAGCTCTAGTCTAATCATAGATGTCAGTGCTATGTGACGGTCGAACTGCATCTCCTTTGGGATGTTTGGATATGCTAATTTGTGCCCCTGATACTTCAAACCAGCCAGAGTTAACCAATCAGATGGTTTTATTTTTATCTTTGTTTTGTTCACCTCACTATAGAGGAAACCAGCTTCAGATACTCTCAAGTTGGAATAGAACACCTTAATAAGATCTTCAAAGAAATCACATTTGAGAGCCACAAAATGCTGTAAACCTTGATATTCTATATGGTGGTGAAAATACAACCCTGATGTGGCAAAGTAGTTAAAGTCCATAACCTTTGGATGAAGGACTATCCTGTGGTAAAACTCCTTGCCATATTTAATCATCTGATCACGCTGGCTGAAAAAACGTGTCTGATTTAGAACTTCTTCAATTTGTGGTAATCTAGGACCAGCTGCTCTGTCCGAGGTGGCAGGAGTTTTTCCTTTTCTTTCTTTTGAACTTCTTTTTCTTGAACCGGATGCCATACCTGAAAATTATATATAAAATAACCAATAACAAATATGATGTTAAACATAAGACATATTTCATAAAACATAATTGCAAGTAATAACATTAAAATGTATCTTTGACCATTAATAAATACTTTTATAACATTATGGTCAAGTTTACAATGTTTAAACCATTAGTAAAACATTACATACAATGCATAAAAAAAATACAATAATTACGAATCACAAATCAACCACTTTGACCCATGAACTTTAACAATTGGTTGAGGCGGAGATGTGGGGGTAAGCCAAAAAGTCGCCTAACATGTGATGGATTATTACACAAAAAATCATAACATTGAACCATAACTTGCTCGTCTTGCAAGTTCATAGCGACTAACATGTCCCAAATATTTGATTCTGAATATTGAACTGTTGATGTTCGCCTCAAGATATTAACTTGCTCATTAATTATTTCGTTTCTTCGTTCAATGGTGACCACTTGTCGTTCAACAATATCATATAATCTTTGGGTCAACGCATTACCTTGACCAAGGTAATCTGTAAATGCATCGAGCCTCGTAGTTAGCCTGTCAAATTGTGCATCCATCACATCAATCATTGGGGCTTTTCTTTTTGTGCCTCGAGATGACGATGTTCCAGTAGTACCACCAGATGCAGCAGATGGCACTGATTGAGTACCATCAACAGGACTACAGGAACCATAGTGTGGTGGCGACTGATATGCTGTATCAAACCCTGCCTGAAAAGGGTCGTCCTGTGGTATGTCATTCACATCATCGTTCAAGTCGACCGTTACACTTGGCATACCGATATTTCTACGGGCTTGTCGCGCAGTCCTAGCCATATGGCCTGTCGCCCGATCAACTCCCCATAATTCTTCCATCAAGTCATAGTACCTAATGGAAGACACTCTCCATTTAGCTGCAGCTAGCTTCGCCTGCAAATAAAAACCATGATTATCACTCATAATTACTATGTTTCACTAATTCAATAAAACTCAAATGTTAAAACATTACCTGCAGCAGGTCATCCCATACTTCAGGCTCAGCTGTAAACCGTTTTGTGAACTCATCCCACGCAAATCCACTAAGTCTACTAAACAAGTCGTGAACCTCCCACCATCTATCCTTCAGACTTTTTTGTTTATTTTTAACATTATTTTTCGTGATACCCGTTAATCTAGTCTGTCAGAGGGCTTCAACAATATTATTGTATGCTTGGGTTGTCCAACTACCATCAACCCGATTGCCCAACCTAGCCTCGTCAAGCATGGCAGTTAATAAACGAAAGTCCATGTCATCAGTCCATTTGGTGAACTCGCGGACCGTAGTCGAGGAATCAGGTACAACATTTTTTCCTCTATTCATTTTCTACCTAGTGGAAAAACAAGGCACACAATGATGATAATCATATGTAAAATTTATGAATGAAAAATTCTAACAGAATATTTTATTACAATTAAAACATGACATCTTATTAAATACATTATTAAATACATGATCTAATTATTAGTATAATTTGTCCACATTTCATATGCTATAGCATCTCGTATAGTTGACCCTTCCCTATGATCATCCTCACGAGCTTGATTCGGCATGGTATCCATAGGTTGTTCCATCAACTCTCGATCGACCTCTGATAACAACGATTCATCATTGTCTACGCCTCGAAGAAAATTGTGTAAAATGCAACATGCTAGTACAATATTCGTCATTGTATCGAACGAATAATGAGGTTCTGTTCCACTAGCTATTATAGGAAATCTTTTCTTCAAAACGCCAAATGTTCTTTCAATCACATTTCTAAGTGACGTATGTCGATGGTTAAACAATTCTCTTGGGTTTTGTGGAGCTCTTCGAGAATACTCTTTAAGGTGATATCGAACCCCTCGATACGGCGTAATTATTTGTCCTTTTAACATAAATCCAGCATCCCCCAGTAGTCCCCAAGTAGTATTTACCTAATTAAAGTCATTGAAGTTATACTCATTATAATATCGTAAGTACGTTACTATACACTAATTACGAAGTAAATAATAACTAACCTTGTGGTATGATAAGTTGATCCTCTCTACCTAGGACATCCTTTAATATTCTTGAATCAGATGCTGTTCCTTCCCACCCTCCTAGAACATATGTGAATTTCATGTCGAAATCACAAGCTGCAAATACGTTTTGGGTTGGCCAATCTTTTCTTCCACGAAAACGGGGGGCATCTGATCTTCCTACTTTAACTCGGACATGAGTTCCATCTATTGCCCCTAAACAATCCTAAGTACAAACAATATGATAGTAATACCTTATTTTTAATGTTCAAATACGTCTATGTGATGTAATACTTTAGTTTGGCACTGAATTACCTTAAAGTACGAGTAAAACTGGCAATTGTTTAAGATGTAACGATGAACATTTCTGCCTGATGGCTGAACTAACATTTCTCCCTCCAACATAATGACTGCATTCAACACGTTATGAAAGTATCGACTAACGATTTCCCCATATTGATGGAAAAAAAATGAAACACTTCGATTTTTAACATTGTGTCCGATAATATGGAGGAACTTAGCCACTTATTCTTCCACTGTTGATCGGAAGGCATCATTGACCAATCCAGTTGCCCTTACTCGTTCACATAAGTTAATGAATGTCGCAGGTCCCATGCGAATAATGTCACGACATTGTTCGGTGTGAATAAGGTATGACATCAACTCATTCCTACGACGTTCTTTTTGAGAAATGAAGTCCCTAATGTTACTTGTGGGACAACATATGGTACACAACATATTTAACCCAAAAGCTACGAGACAAAGGATTGTCATTGCTCCTACTTGGGTTCGCATTTGTATTTGACTTTGTATTTGTGTAATTAAATTCAAGTCCAAATCATTATCCATTTCTTCATTGTCTAAACTAACAACATCGATATTTTCGTCTGGCATCTGAATATTTTTCGAAATAACAAATTTATTATTCTAATCAAATATGATTAAAAACGAAAATATAAACCCTAAAAATATATAACCGAACTTTAATATATATCAAAGTGAGAACATAAAAATATTAATATTTAATATTATTATTTTATTTATATATATAAATTAAATAAATATTTAATTTATATATATATATATA